AGTCCAATCCAATGGATGCTTACCATGTGAGATATTTGAAGCATCCAAAAAAGTACTGAGAGCCAATAAACCAGTTTAGAAGTAGGTTTATCCTTCAAGTAATCGTAAATCGGCTATTGCTGGCAGTGTTTCTAGCATCTAACTGCAATCCTGACTATTTGGTGACAATCACATTGAAAATTAAATGCTGCTGCACTCGCTTGCCACTCACTAATTTTAAAATAATGTTAGATAAATAGAAGTTTCTTAAATAAGCAATCATCCTTACATATAAGGATAATTGCTTATTTAAGAAACTTCTATTTTATCCTTGTCTCCGATCACTATTTCTATTGGATTACTGTGAAATGTTATGTTCTTCCATTCCTTATTCGTAAGAATAGCATGTCGGGCCAAACTTCACAGAAGGTTGAGCGATGTTTTGAAAAACTCGTTTAACCAAAGAGCATAACGAAGAAGAGCTATGTGGAATGCTGTCCTTTAGCATATGATGCCAGACTGAGAGTTAGAGCTTTTTGATCTCCCTAGAAAATTACACTTGTGTTTTGATTTCGCACTATTTCTCTAGGTAACAGAATAACATTGGGAATTTACAATGTTATCTATAGTATTTTAGGATGTATTGCCAACTATCACTGACAATATGCATTGTGATGACTTTGCTTTATGATGTGAGTGCAATGGCTTGTGGATATTTTAGTGAATACTATTCTGCAAAAATTGGAAAATCAAAAAAATCCCACACTCAATACCAAGCTATTAAGGCGCCTGAAGCGGTGTCTGCGAAAAAAGAAGCGAGAAAAATGAAGAAGTGTGAAGGAGATAGCACAGACTGCATTTTTGATGGCGATATGATTCTTACTAGGTGGGTTTTGTCTCCTTGCCTTCACTCTTCACAGGTTTACCAAAGCAGATTTTAGTGAGCAAATGAGAAAAATTTTTCGTCGCGAAAAGCGCCAGGCAGCCAGAGCACGTCCTAAGCATGATATTTGGGGGAAAACCGTTTATTTCTACTTTGATCCATTTCATACTAGTAAGTAGCATCTGATTTGCTTTTGTATATTCTAATCCAGAGGGTGATTATCGACCTTACAGGCGACAACTTGAGGAAGGAGTTCAATTATGCAAGAGAGGCTTGGGAAAAGGATACATGCGTTAACTTTACTGAGATTAAGCACAAGGGCGAAGGTATGGCACTATTTCCTAAGTTGTGAATTACTATCGTAGATTTCATGCATGCAGGCAGCAGTATAAAGAATTATGATTAAAAAAAGCAAGATGAAGAGTTTCTAGTTCTCATTGAAAGAAGCAAATGCCTTGTTAAACTTTTTTTAACGCACGAATACGGTTGAAGAGATTACTTCTTTAAATTTGAAAAATTTGCAGGTGTGCGACATGTGTGCTAATGAAACTATTTTCTATGTGCTTATATATGCAAAAATGGCTTCATTCAAAATCACAAAAGCTCATTTCTGAATGTTTATGTAGAATCTAATCTCTGCTGCTATATGTCACGGCTGATGAAATTGAGGTTTAGATAAACTACCGTTCAGCTCAACGCAAAATGTAAGGCGCAAAATCTTACTGCGATCGGTTATGAATAAAGCTGAAGCTAGTAATCGACTGGTTGAACGAAAAAACCATACATGGATGCGGACGCACTTCGCTGTTACGAATATGCAAAGGGAAAAAAATACACCCGTCCATATTTTTGCCTTTAAAAGCAAGGTATTATCATAGGCCTGTCAGAGTATCAAAAATGTTTCTTTCTGATTAAATTTATTTAAAAAATCTTGTCCTAACGCTCGCATCAAA